TGTGAGCTAGAAGATTCCTAGAGAAGGAATCCTTTTGCTACAAGGGGGAACTCAAAAGTATATTTCTAGAACTGACAAGAGCATTCTAGAATATTCTGTAATGATTTGTACTCTTTATCTTAAAGTGATAATAATAGTGTATGGATTTAGAAGGGAAATCTTTAAGCCTAATAGTTTGATTTAATTATGGGGGCAAAATGAAAATATTGATTTTTGAGAGAAAGAGCTCTAGAAGTGACCCATATTGCCCCCATTAAAAGAGGCAAAATGCGGTTTGGAATGTGTAGTTTGAGAAGGACTTGCTTGCATTGTGAGGACTGTGAAGAAATCTGTGAGATCTGTGAGAAAGACTGTGTCTTATTCCTCCATATCATGTCATCACCCAGAAAAGCTCCCGGCAATAAGGATGGGAGGTGGAAGGGTTGGAGGAACTTTGTGAAATGCTTTAGCGTCCACAACACAGTGAAGTCAGGTCACACCCAGAAACAAGGAGGAACTTTGTGAAATGCTTTAGCATCCACAACACAGTGAAGTCAGGTCACACCCAGAAACAAACTGCCACCATGGAAAATGCACCATCTGAGATGCCTTGCATTTCCTAGGAGGAAAGTGACAAACCACAATGCTGTAACTTCTCACCCATTTGACCAAACAATCCCAATCCTCTTGTGTTTGTCTGAGGCACAGAGTGGGCATGTCTGTTCCCCATTACTAACTTATTGATCTGGACTTAAGAACAATTTAGGAATAGGGACCGTGGCCCACATCACATCAGTCACAGATAACAAACCACACACAACAAGTACCCTAGTTTATAAATAATAGGCCCTCCAAGAACCCACGTGACATCCCAAGTGCTGGATGGTACTTCTGAAAGCTCTCAGAGAGCTGAAAATCACACACAGGCAAGCAAGTCCCTGCTGAATACACATCTAAGGAGCTGTGCATGCATTGTTTATTCCAGCAACTTTATGGAATAAATTACACACAACAAATTAGTTTCAGATGGTAGGATATGAATAGCTGATATGCAGTATAAAGGAAAGTGAACTCCAACTTTTGACCCAACTACTTCCCATCTCAAGCATCTCAGACTCAGAATCCAAATGCAATCCATTTTTGAAAATGCAATGGAGATCAGAAAGTTGATAAGTGGTGAGGATTAGAGATTTCAAAAAGCAACTTATGAGTACTATTAACTCGTTATATTGTCCCTATGATTTTTGGTTGTTCATGTATGTGGAAACCATGGGTAAAACTGAACCCATCCTTTCTCCTTCCTTTCGTTATGCACACAATCAAAAATAAATATTTTCCTGACATTTCCTACCTGAACAGAAATTTCATAATAAATTAAACCCAACACACATTTAAAAATCTCACTGCATAACACTCTGGGACAATCACTTATGTTCCTAAAAGAGACATAATGTCTTTTTTCCTCCCTACCAATCTTTTTTTTTTTAAATTAACATTGTAAAATTGACTTCTTTTGGTGTACAGTTCTATGAATTTTTACTACATGTATAGTCATGGAACCATCACTACAATCAGGGTTACAGAATAATTTTCACACACACCCAAATTCTCTGGTGCTACTACTTTATAATCCTCTACCTACCTTTAACCACTGGCAAACTACTGGCCTGTTCTCTATCACTATGGTTTTATCTTTTTAAGAATGTCAAGAATATAACCCTTGTCATGTAACTTTTCACTCAGCAAAATGCCTTTGAGATTCATCCAAATTGTTGCCTGCCTTAATAGCTTGTTCCTTTTCCTTGCTGAGTAGTATTCCATTGCGTGAATGTGTCACAGTTTGTTTATCTTTTCACCCATTGAAGGATACTTGAGTTATTTCCAGTTTGTTGCAATTATGAATAGAGCTGCTATAAACATTTGTGTACAAGTTTTTTTGGGAATGTAAATTTTCATTTCTCTTGGGTAAAAATCTAGGAATAGGATTACTGGGTCACATGGTACATGTATGTTTAACAGTATAAGAAACTGCCAAACTTTTCCCAGATGGCTGTATATAATGTTTTTTCATAAGTAAAATAATAAAAACCATTAAAAGTGACCCCTTGATAGCTTAATCACTCATGTTTAGGTGATTCCAATAATGTTATTCATCATGATGAAATATTGCCCCTAAAATAATCAGAAGCATTTGATTTCATTTTTTTTCTTTTCACTTTTAAAGCTTAATCAAGTCTTTAATATTGTAACATTATTTTTAAAAGAAAGTTACATGCTTGACAATTGTAGAAATGTAAAGCCTAAGGAATCTACTTACAAATGAGGAAACTTTAATGAGAGAGAAAGAATCAGGGGAAGTTTTTATCACAGCTAAGTTTGAGCAATTTAGCCCAGTGTCATATACATCAAGTCTAATTTTCAATTCATAAAGAAGCCTCCCCCTCCCTTCCTCCAAAAACTTCCACCCCAAGGCTAATTACGGAAGAAAACAGAACATGAGTACCAGCCAGAAAAGATTCACAGTTGCCACTCTTCAGTTGCTACTTTAATGGGAAACACATGTGCAAGATACCACCCAGGAGACAACTGACCAGTGTGTTCTGTAAAAATGAACATCACCAGAAAATAAGCCATAGGAGATGGCTTACTCTCTTGGACAGGCTGAGCCCAGAAAGAGGGTTGATAGTGTTTTTGTTCTTATATAAGTATGTGCTCATCCAAAGATGAGATGCTGGGACAGAAAAATAATCTGTAGCAATAATATTGAAGGCAATAATGTGAATTAGCCCTCACTACTTATCATTCTCACCTACATGCCCTGAAATCAGCTTACAATCACATTTGCAAAGTTAACATAAGAAGAAATCCTACAACACAATTGGAAGAAAGGGCATAGTGATGAAAGTAAATAATAATGCTAAAACTCATTAGCTGTCTCCTACTACAGGTAGCCAACACTGTTCCAAGTGCCGTACACACAGCATCTCATTATATCCCTAATTTACCAGGTAAGGATGAACTCCACTGTGTTAGCTCAGGTTGCCATAACAAAGTATGTAGACGGGGTAGCTTAAACAACAGAAATTTATTTCTCACAGTTCTGGAGAAGAATGTGATCAAAGTGCCAACCAGTTAGGTTCTTGGTGAGGGTTCTCTCCCTGGCTTGCAGAGGCCACCTTCTAGCTGTGTCCTCACATGGTGGAGAGAGAGAGCAAGCAAGCTCTCTGGTCTCTTCTTGTAAGGAGACTAATCCCATCGTGAGACCCCCACCCTCATGACCTCATGAAAACCTAATTTCCTTCCAAAGGCCTGTCTCCGAATACCATACATTGGGGGTTAGGGCTTCAACATATGAATCTGGGGGAACACAATTCAGACAATAGCATCCACTTTACAAATAAATGATGTTTTGAGAGGTTATGGAGTTTACAACGGATCATTCAGTCAACAATCAGCAGAGCTTGAACTTGAGTCCCAGGGCTTTCTGACTCTAGGGAATAATATCTACTATTTTTTGACTGCCCACTAAGGGCTGGGTACCTCTACACAGTATCTCTAATCTTCACAGAAAACTTTCCAAGTCAATATTCTTCCCATTTATAGTTGTGGAATCTCTGGCCCAACTCTGGAACCGTTTGAACTTAATTTACTGCACCTAATGTATCCTAGTGGTTCTAAAAGTATGGTCCTCAGACCAGCATCATCACCTTCTTCACTTGGAAACTTGTTAGAAATGCAAATTCTTGGGCCAAGCTACATACCTACCAAATTAGAAACTCTGGGTGTAGTGTCCACAATCCATGTTTAACAAGCCTTTAGATGATTCTGATCCATGCTAAAATTTGAGAACCATTTGTTCCATAAATTTATTGGAATAATTACTACATTCAACACTCAATAACAAGTGGTATATCCACTTGTTTTTGGTGCTAAAGCCTGTGGCCTTTTGCTGTACTGTACTGCCCCATCCCAACTTCACCAAGGGAATATGTTGGGGATGAAGCATATTTTAAATGAACTGTGATTGTAGAGCACAATTCTGAATTCTATTTGGCCACTATAATGCCGATCAGTTCTCCTACCTACAGTAAGGTCATACAGAGAAATGTCCGAAGAACAGTCCCTGAGAATTGACAATGGTGGTTTCCACTGATCAGAAAACACCTGTAGTATGAATTAGAAAACCAAGCTTTGTGAAATTGTTATTTAGGCCTGACAATTTTGTGTCCCATTTAGTGAAAATGAGAAATAATCTAGAATGGAACAAAGCAGTTCTTTAAAAAAGTGAATTCCATTCCCTTTTGATTTATTTTTAAAAATCATATTTAATCATCTAATCAATCACTGCTTTACCTACATATAGTTGCTGTACAGTTATACCATTTTCCCCTCCAAGGAACAAGACCATATTACATCCCATTTTGGAAGTCTGGACAATTCACAAGAAAGGATAGAAGTCTGCCCATAATGGAAATGGCTAATTTTTGGAGAGTGGTGAATGAAGGTGCTTGATCTCATACCAAGGGCCTTTTAAAATCATTTGCAAAATCAAAGCACTTCAAAAAAGGTTATTTCCAATGCAAACATGATCATCCGCTGTGATCAATATCACCTCTAAAACCTTTTATTAATATTAACAATATTAATGAACATGTGCTAGTCACTGCTCTAAGCATTTTATATGCTGTAAAACTCATTTAGCCCGTGTCGTGCAACTACTGAGCCCGTGCACTCTAGAGCCGGAGCGCCACAGCTAGAGAGAAGCCCGCATGCCACAACAAAAGATTCCATATGCCACAACTGGCCCAATGCAGCCAGATAAATATTAAAAAAAAAACCCAACTCATTTAATCATCACAAACATTTGAGGTAGGTTCTAGGATTGTTTCCATTTCACAGATGAGGAAATTGAGACTCAGAAAGGTTAAGTAATTTGCCAGAGCTCCTTCGGTCAGAAAATAACAATACTCTAGAGTAGGCTTATTGAAAAGTACTTGCTGGACACTCATTCAGACACGAACCTTTGGCTCTGGATGGATGGGTTCAGTGTTGCTCTGAATCTGGATTAGTTCCAAAGGTCCATCTGTGAGCCTGCCTGACCCTTGGCCTTGGCACTCCATCTGGATAGAATAAAGCAGAGCAGCAAAGTGATGACACGGTAGACCTGACAATACCCTCCACCTAGTGAGAGACAGAGGTCAAAGTGATAAAGGGACAGAGTGGGAACTGTACTTCTACTTGCCTGTTTGGTTTCCACTTGGTTCTTGAAAACAGACCTATTAATCATTTAGTTTGTGGTTTTGATACTTTCACTGATTCCTAACACATTTGAGTCAATGAGGCAAGGATAGCAAGATCTATGGACATTCAAACTTCTCACGTGGAAGAGGCATTAAAATCCTTTAAAAACACATCACCAGCCAGAAGAAAGATTTTTATAATTTTCAGCTTCAGAGTTGTAGATGGTTGTGACTTAAGCCCAAATTGGGAAAGACTTTATGTGATTTATAATAGCAGTTACTCTTCTAAGGAAACTTCTCATACTCTATTCCATCTACCAAAAACAAAAGCTGTTTTCAGCAGAAAACAGCATGTTGAGGTGGAAAAGGCTTTCCAAAGAAACTGTTGTGTGTAATTTTTGATTCTGTCCTAATTTGGGAAGTTCATCTGAGCCTAAGATCATTTTGTGCAGCTGACAGGACATTTGTTCAATGGCTTTTGCCTTGCTTACCACCTGCTCTCTTTATCTCTACAGATTTCCCACTCATTCTTTTTTCTCTTCTTTCTTCCTTCTCCTCACACACACCTCCACTCCTTCCATCCAGTCTGGTTCTATTCACTTACATCTTAAAGGACACTATTAAGAAAGAGGGCAAAGGTTTTATAACATTTGGTGGGCTTTTAGTGAAGTAATTAAGGTCCTATGCTGGCCTGGCTAGACTTGTCACATGTCATGTCCGACTCCCCAAAACTGTGTAGATTGAGAAACTTCTATATTGAGTCCCTCTTTCATACCTTTATAAACACTTGAATTCATTGAATATGCTGGGAGCTTCAGATAGAGCAGACACCCAGTCTCTGCCCTCAAGGAGCTCAGGCTTGCCTGGAGGGTGAAGTAGAGGGTGGGTAGTAGGTTTGTGGGTAACAAAACTCTCACTGGTTAATCTTGACCCAAGTTCATTCATTTAGGAGGCAATATCCCTTAAATCTCTTTATGAAAGAGATCCTGTCAGGCATCAAATTCACAGCAAATCTCCCTGGGTCAAGCATGGAAAGCTTTCTGGTACAACAATGGGATTTGGAATCAGATCCACTTAAGTCCAAATCCTAACTCTGCCTTGGACAAGTGAATCTCATAGAGTCTCAGTTCTCTCTACTGTAAAATGAGAAAAAACCTGCTCAAGAGTCTACCTGAGTATTAAACTGAGAAAATGTCATACAAAGAATCTGGCATAATTCCTGGTACACAGGAAGTGCTCAATAAAGGTTTGTTTCCTTTTTTTTTTCCTTCTCCCTCCCCAGGCCTCATAGGAAGAGGGTGCAGCCTCCTAATGAGAGGACACGAAAGAGGCTCTAATAATATTAAACACTTCAATATAACCTACTACATCCCAAGCACTATTACATAGTTTAACTCATTCGATTCTTCCCTCAAACCCTATAAGTACTGTTATTATCATCTCCATTTCATAGATGAGGAAACCTAGGGACAGAGTTGCCAAGTAACTTGCCAAGATCACACAGGTAGTATGTGGTGGGACTGTGATTTCTCCCAGGTTATCTAGCTCTTATTCATCACCCAACTAAGAGGCAAATCAACAAAGAGGCGCTAATCTCAGCTGGAATCAGAGTATACAAACTGCACTCCTCAGTTAACAAGCTCTGCTTGGTTTGCACGGTGGTGTAAAAATCAGGAGACTTCACATTGAAGCCTATATTTCTGACTTCTCTCAAAAAAATTTGGGAGATCCTGGCAATATACAGCCCATATTTTCAACGAAACAAGCTGCTGACTGGTGACTACTCTCTGGACTGAGCACATGTTCTCCAATTCACCACAGTTGCCAGTGCTCACAGTTGTATTAGGTGGACCGTGCTTCACTTTTTACCTGCACATGCATTTGAGTTTGTGATCCAGAATTAGGCAGTGCTCTAAACATAGAGACAGAAAGACAGAAGAACTACATTCCATAAAGACAGAAGAACTACATTCAATAATGTACACCCAATCACTGAAATGTTTGATGACAGGAAAAAACAAATGCATGTAGGAAACAGGTCTGAGTAAAAAGCAATCAACAACCGGGTTCAAATCACAATCACTTGCTTATGCTTAGACAAGCCTTTGAGCCATACATGCAGGAATTGTAAACACCAGCTATTCTTCTCCACATCCCCATACCTAAACAAAAAGCCAAAAAAACAGGTTTCCTTATAGGTCATAGGGCTAAGATCCATTTGCCTTTACTATTAAAAACATCCTTCTTTGTTTGGCATAGCTAGGAGAGGTAGTTTAAATTTTCATGTACTGCTTAACCCAAATAATACCATCTAAACTATTTTTTCTCTTCTTTTAACTCTTTAGGCCTTTCTGATTGGCATGATCTCAGAGAACAGATAAATAGTAAAATTCTTCTAGAAACCTGGAAAATGTAGGGAGGGGAAGGCATGGAGCCTTCTCTGGATAAGCTTATGAGAGAAGAGAAATATCTCAATTTACAAGTAAAGAAACTGAGGTGAAAATGTTATCCTAGACCACAGAGCCAACTGCCCAGCATGTTCTGAACCCAGTCTGTGTTCTTTCCAAGACTTCACACTACCTTCCTCAGAGCCTATCTACCTGAAAATAATGTTTAAAGAAGTAATCTATGGTATCACTATTTGTACCAAAATGGTATCACACACCCTGTATTTAAGTCTTCATAACAGATATATCTTTGGTCAGGAGGGAGCTCTAATATTACTTATCAATGACCCTGCCTTTGTAACATCTGTATTGTTTTCTGTTTTACCTTTTCAGTTTTTTTAAACTGAGAACAGAAAAAGCCTCATCTTTTTAACAGTTTATGAACATTTTATTTTATTACGAACCTGCAATAATGCTTACTATATTTACAAATCTCTAAGTGAAATTTTTAAAACCATTTTCCTCCTCTAATCTCTCTCATCCTGCCTTCTTAGAAGTACACAAAGCATTTCAACCACTCCCAAATTCCCTCTTGTAATACCCTTAATGATTCTGAAATATTTTGTTATTCCCTAAACACCGCCCTAAAGACAAATCATTGGACTCCAGGCTCTTTGCACTGCCAAGTTGAATAGAGTTCAAATGTTCTATCTAACCAAACTCCAACTTACAACAAAGACACATATAGTAGATGATGTGTAAGATATTCCGAAAATACCAAGGCAACAGGAAAAAAATCTGTGTCATCAAGAGGTCCTCCCAGAACTCCTTGTAATCTGGAATAAGCATTTTTATCAAGATCCTGTAACCTGATCATTACACACATGTGTATATCTGTATAACTAATAAGTCAACTTTCATTTTAGTAATGTATAGCTTACGATTTCTCACATCCAAAACAACTAATATTTCAAAATTTATGATTGTTTCTCTACTTTAGATGTCAGAGCATGCACAAAGACTTGAAGAAAAAACAAAACAAGGAAAACAATCTTAGCCTGATAAAATTAAAATTTAAAATAAAATTAGAAATTATTTAAAATATATTCTTTCTTTTTGAATTGACCCTTCCAAAGCATGGTATGAAACGGAGCACAAATAAGGCAGTTACCAAAAAGATATAGGACCTATTAGGATTTCCTTTTAGGTTAAAAAAAAATGGCTCATGGAAGAACAGTTTTCAAAATGACCAAAGCATAGCCAGGCACCTCTTCCACTGGAAGCTTCACCAAAAGGCACACTCCCTGGACCTTGAAATTTTGATTCCAGACCCAGGTCTTGCCCAAGTTTTCTGGGAGTTTTGCTCAGCTTCAAGCCCATCCCACCTAGAAGATCTTTGGAGATATTCAAAGTTTAAGGTAAGTTCCCCTTGTTATTTTCAGAATCATAAGAACATAAAAGTAAACTATATAAAGCCACATAAAAATGAATGAATTTAATTTTTTCCAAATTATAAGCACCTTGAAGACAAGGATTCTCCTTCTCTCTATTAATATTGCATTACTTGCACCTGGAATAATGCGCAGCACATAGCAGATAGTTAATAAATTCAGTACTTGTATGAATGGGACACTTCTATAAATATCGCTATCGCCCTGCAATTTTCAAAGTTTCCATCACACAATTCCCCTAATGGCTCTTATTTCACTAATCATAAAACCACATAATCAGAAAGGAAATAAATCCCAGATACCAAAGAGCAGTTTGCCTCTCCATCAGCTCACTTATTTATAGAGTTTTAGAGCTAAAAGGGATATTGGAAGTTGCCTTTGAATTCTCTGATTTTACATTGGAAGAAACTGAAGTTTAAGCTCTCAAGTTAAGTGGTTTAGCCTTGATCATCCAGCTGAGAAGTACCAAAGCGCTTCCTGTTATTTCCTGTATCAGCCTCTGCTGTTAATTCCCACCACTTCCCCCTCAAAAAAGTATTTGTAGACTTAAGGATATCATCTTTAAAATTCTCCCAGAAATCTCATGTGGCTTCCCTTGGGGTATGGTGGAAAGAGGACACAGTTTTAATATAATCTACCAATAGCCGGGGGTTTTGCTCAACTGAAAAGTATGTGTTGACTAACTTGACGGGTCTTGTTGTGGTTAGCGGGAAAGCGGGGAGGTCTTTGAGCCCATCTGAAAACTTGAAATGTTTTATTACTCTTACATTATTTCATGTATAGCTAGGGGGGTGGGGGTAGCATGGGGTGCAATAACATTGTTTCCTGAAAGTATTGAGACAGAGGCAAAAACCTCCAATCTGACCACAAGAGGGCAGCTACAACATTTTCTCCTTGATCTTTGCGGTTCTAAACCATGACAAACTGGGCATTTTAGTGCTCAGCCTGCCATAGAATCACTGATAGCACCTTTCAACTGAATTCTCAATATGTCACAATTCTCTCATTGTGTTTCTTGAGACTTTTTTGTTTTGTTTTTAAA